TGGCTAAAGGAAGGGTTTCAGGGGAAGTGGCTAGTGGCTAAAGGAAGGGTTTCAGGGGAAGTGGCTAAAGGAAGGGTTTCAGGGGAAGTGGCTAAAGGAAGGGTTTCAGGGGAAGTGGCTAAAGGAAGGGTTTCAGGGGAAGTGGCTAAAGGAAGGGTTTCAGGGGAAGTGGCTAAAGGAAGGGTTTCAGGGGAAGTGGCTAAAGGAAGGGTTTCAGGGGAAGTGGCTAAAGGAAGGGTTTCAGGGGAAGTGGCTAAAGGAAGGGTTTCAGGGGAAGTGGCTAAAGGAAGGGTTTCAGGGGAAGTGGCTAAAGGAAGGGTTTCAGGGGAAGTGGCTAAAGGAAGGGTTTCAGGGGAAGTGGCTAAAGGAAGGGTTTCAGGGGAAGTGGCTAAAGGAAGATTGATTTGTTGCTAAAAGTAAACGGCGCGATGTCTTTGCGCGGTGACGTCATTGCGTAATCACGATGCAAACTTGTGTCACTGCATCAAATCTCAGCAACAACAAAAAAATGTCAATATGTTAATTTAGATGTTTTATAAAATAATATAAATGCATAATATAATATTAAAATATAAGTAACTAATTTTAAATACAAGATTGAATTATTTAACACTTTTTTTTAACAAGTTTATTTTTATTAGCTAGTAAACTAGTAAAACTACTCATTCTGAACAATTATAGATTTAAGCAGTGTATTATCCCAACAAACACTGCTGTCTACGTGCTCCCGACATTGTAGCAACATTGAATAGTAAGACGTGAAAGGGCTGTAGTAACGTTGTTACGCGACATTCAGCAACTGCGAGACGACGTTCCGACCACATTTATTTTTATGCCAGATTATAAATATTACCTGTTCTGCATCTTATTTTTATTTTTTGTGTGGTGAATCTCTTAATAATCAAACACAAGATAAATATGCAATACTTTTTCAAATACTGTTAATCATTCATTGTTCTTTTTAACGTAAAACCTGCTATGAAACTTTAAAGAGGAAAAATGCCATACAAGTTCATATAATCCAACTTTTTTAAAACATTGCATACACTACCAAAACATACATTTAAAAAAAGTACGTTATATTAATTATATTTAGCTCAAATATAATGGACTACAAATAAAAAAGCTTAAAAAAGGCATTTGAGAACGTTTGCTGAACAAAAGAAAAGCAGCTGAGACAGTCAGCAGGTCACCGGCTGATGAGGCGGACTCAGGACTGGAGAACACGGCGGACAGGGGAGCACAGACGGGAAGGTCAGACTCGGCAGACATCAACAGCCCAATAAAGATAAACAAATCCAGAGGAAAAGGCAAGCGCCGAAACCAGTCGGCAGGCACAAGTCAAAACCAGGCAGACAATCCGGGGACAGAGAATGATGTGCAGCAGGCAGGTAAAACTGGGCAGAGAACAAGACGGAGCTAAATCAAATGACAAGCCATTAATATATGAGGACACAAATAGGATCTTGATACGACAGGACAGGACACATATATATATGAGCAGACAGTACAAAATAATCTCTCAACGAAACAAAGCACACTATAGCAGAAAAATGAAAGGAAAGAAGAAACAATCAGCTGAGCGCAGCCAATAGAAAAAAAGAGCAAAAGTTAGAAAAGAGAGACAAAGATCAAACCTGACTCTTGACAGAAACATCACATTAGTGTATTCTTTTCAGTCTTTTGATACTTTTATTTTAAACAGTTACATAGTTATTTTAAGCATCTATCAAATCTTAAGTAAATTTTGTTCGAGTTATTTTTATTTTATTTTAGGTCCTTATTATAAGAGGATAGTACAGATATGAAAGAAAAAGATAGTGAGAAAAGTGTAGGGTGACATGAGCCAGGTTTGAGCTCCAGTCATATGTACAGATATGCTAGGCTGCTTGTACTACCCATAAGGCTGAGTCTCTGAATACTTACTTAAAATTATGAGAAGAGGTCCAATGAACCATCTTGTAAATGTGGGGCAACTGATCGCTGTAAAATTAAATGTCAAACTTAGTGTCATGTCAATATCAGCTGTACAGAACATTAAAGCAATATTAAAAATCTCACACTTGGGTTTTTAGTTTGGATTAATTTAGTGTGTATTAAAAACATTGATTTGCACTTAACTGTAGCCTTGAGACTTTGAGGGAAGAAAAAAAAAAGAACTTAACCAGGGCTGGACAATAATAATAAAATACCTGTCTTGGAGCATATCCTCGAAAACAGTCAGTTATATCATAATTGAAAAGGTTGAGAAAAATCGTACATGTATCAATATATTGGACGCATGCATATCTAAAGTGACCTCACTGCTGTCAGTGTACTTAATGTTAATACTAAAACAAAACAAAAACACTCAATGCTCTTGACTGATTAACTTTTGTAGCATTAACAATGATTCATCTATATTTAATTTATGCAGTGAGGAATATGCAATATTACATTTGTTTATTCAATTTCTGTACCTGATCACCTACAAACTGTTCTATTTATTTATTGTGCTATTGTTTGTAATTTGTTCATTTGTTTCCCTTATATTTCCCTTATATTTAACTAATCAAAATTTTTGCCATAAATGTATTTATGAGAATACAAGATAAGGATCAAAACAACAATAAAAACAGCTATTTTATTTTTGTGGCAGGGCCAGTGAAAATGTTGGCTGGGCAAGAAAAAAGTAATATATTATACATACATATTGTCAGTAATATAATACATTGTCAAAATACTCACATTAGCCTTTCTCCTAACCAGACCTGGTGCATGTTTAAGGGTCTCTGCAATCTGGCTTTCAGCATCCATGCTAGTAGACCCAGGTTGTGATTTCATTATTGCCCCTAAATGGTTTAAGTAAAGTTTTTAGAGATGAACAAGTATACTTTACATTTGAACAAACAGGTATTCATCCCATTTGTATTGCCAATAATGTAGAATTCTGTCACTATAATGCAAATCAAAGATAATTGAAAATACAATAGAATATACAATAAAATAAATGCAAATACTGTTGATTTTTTTTATACTTATTAGAACTCGATAAACAGAGAGTTCTTCAAGTATCCTCTTCCCCTTCCTTCCTTTGAGGCTAAACTGTGACCAAACTTCTGAGGAAGTGAGTGAAACTTCTCGCTCAGCTTATCCTCAAAGGAGAGCAAGTCAGGTAACTGACCAATAGATGGGACAGGGTTTTCTGGCCCTGTGTCTTCTTCTCTTGTCTGCAGTAGCCGCCGAAGCAAGAGAGAATGCTCTTCCTGTTTTGCAATTATTTTATCTAGTTTCATGAGGACATTTAACTGGAAATCTGTAATATAATTTCAGTTTGTTAAAACTTCTGTTGGTTTGATATTTTATATATATGTCTGTTGTGCTGAAATGTCAACTTACTTTTCATAGCTTCATATGGCTTATAACTTTTGGCGTAATGTTAAAACACTTTACACATTTACATGACCAGAATATGTTGAACGCTTTTTCCTAAATATCAGTAACTATATCTGAATACTGAAAGAAATATAGTTAGCAGAAGCCTACACCAAACCCGATCGCAAACTAACACTCGGTATGTGAATTATCAGCTATTCTGTCCATTCAGTTTATTAACAGAGCAAATAAATCTCACATTGGACACGAAAATTGTAGGTTTTGTTTGGATATTTACATATCTTATTTATCTAAAAGAGAAATCATAAGCAATAATCACGTATCCTGGCTTGAAGAAGAATAACGGCCCAACGGTCTGTTCATATTTAAAATGCTCTTCGGAACAGTGAGGAGTACATGTCGTCCAGTGGGTGTCCAGACAGCCTAAGCACAACCTTCAGCAATGGCCCTGAACTGTGATTGAATGGCAACGCAGTAACAACCTCAACGACACAACGTATAACCAACAACCAACAACCAACAACGTATAACCAACAACCTTTTAGCCATGTTGTTACAACGTTGCTAAAAGGTTGGCTACATTGAGGCAACGTTCTGTGTTTGTTGGGAAGTTAGCATACGAACTACTAATTAGTAGTTCGTATGCTACACTCTAAGAAAAGTCTGTAAAAATAGGGCAAAATCTATTAATATGAAGGAATTTTCCGTAATTATTATTCACACGTTTTTTTTACCTTCATTTTAAATTACGCATTGTATTTTGTGTTTTCGTGTTACAATGGATAACGGATAATGTCCCAGAAAATTACTACCTTTTTCTAGATATTTTTCTTACCATGCACTAACTGATCAACAAACTCAAGTACAAGCTACTAACAAGGTGTATCATAAATGAACAATTATTCAATTATTATTATTATTATTATTAAATTAAACAATTGCTAATAGCAGCCAACTTAATTCATGTGAATTGTGTACTGCTAGGCACCTTTGGTTTCCTCTTTTTGTGTAATTTAGATGGAAAATGTGTGCCTTTTTTATCGTTTGAGTCACTTATCAAAAGTTGCTAAATGTTGCCAAATAAATTTTAAAAAATAGCTACATTTGCTGCTAGGTGCTTTTGGAAGTAAAAGTTGCTAGGGTAGTCTGAAAAGTTGCTAAATCTAGCAACAAAATTGCTAAATTGGCAACACTGTCTGGGAGTACATCGATCTAGTACGAGTTCACGTGTACAGTCTATGGTGGGAAGTCACGGGTTTGACTGCTGTTCCAGTGCACTTTCACGGGTAAAAGGTTGGAAAAACACGGGTTACGGGTTGCCTGGAATGCGGCATTACTCTCCCTTGCCTCCACGATTTCCGGGATATTGTATCTAATTTGCTGGGGTCAGGGAGCCACTATTGATATGCGGGAGACTCCCGGAGCTTCCAGGAGAGGTGGGATGTCTGCATTCTGGGACTGTCATATAATCTGCCCTGATGCATGTTTGCTTTTCTTTCCCTCTCCAGCAATCTAAACATGACAGTAATTCATCTCCCAGCATGCAGCTGATGATAGGGCTATAAGGAGTATCTGCACAACTATCTAGAGTTCAGTTCATCTGATATGTCTTTTGTTTTCATTTGCTAGCTTTTGCCGCCCATTTTATTTTATTTTATATTGATTGTATACATCAGTATACTTACATAAAAGTAATTAATTGCTAATCTGTCACTATAGGACTTCCTTTTAGACTGAAGTAAATATATGAAAAGATATGTTGAGAAACGGGCTTTGCAAGTCCCACTGCACATTTATTTTGATGTTTCATAAGTCTCTATGTAACATAAGCCTGTGAGACTAGATAAATTGATAGCACAAGTGAAAAGTAAAAAACAATAAACTTTACATTCAAGAAACTGAAATCCATGACTTGACTTAGAACTTGATTTGAAGAACAAAATATTGAAAGCTTTACCAAACTTCTTGAAAATATCCAATATACTACACGAACCACAAGCATGAGGGTTTTAAATGCATTGACAACAACCATTTAACAAGATTAATAAACAAGAGCCAATGTAGAGCCAATGAAATACTTCAAAATAAAATTGTCACTTCAATATAAAAAGATATGAACCTAAAACATAAAATCAAGATAAAGAACATGCTGAAAATTTTGAATAGTGAATGTGAAACTAAATTGGTAGGTAAATAGCAGCCTGTTTTTGGTCTTTACCTTATTTTCTCAAGCAAGAGGCAAACCAAGGTAACCGGGTCTAACAGTTCAGCTGTTCACCGTACTCATCCTAGCCATCAGCACTGCACTATATTTACCAGCTTCCTGGGTTACACAAGCCTGCCAAGGGGTGTGCACAAGCCCTCAACCTCTTCCTCTGTCCTCCAAATTAGCCGGGTTCTGTCACTGCCATAGTAAACAGTCAAAATGCATGGTGCACGGCCTACCACTGTGGGAACAAACAAGGGGAGGGTCACATGTGAGCCCCGGATGACAGCAGCCCTCCAGACTATTCTAGGTAACTGGAATGTACACAGCGACCTCATGGCAAACTCCAAACTTGAGACCACATGTCTTTCTCCATGCCACTTTTGACTGTGTCGTCTTTGAGAGAGAAATTTGGGAGAATGTATTTGATTTTATCCTGCTAAACTCTGTCTGATTTGGTTCAGACTCATTGGAACTTGAGTGTAAAGAGCAAGCAGGTAAGTTCAAGAGCTACTTTAAAAATATAAGAAACAGGATTGAATTAATGAAATGCTTTATTGTACAGATTGTGAATTCTGATAGGGCAATCAATTTATAAATGTATACATCTTCTAGATCCTGAATTGTCTGGTATTGCAATGCAGGTTCTTAATAGTCATATGCAAATGCATATTATATTATATTATATGTTATGATCTAGCATAATGACAGAGTCAAGATTATAGTAAAATTGTTATTTATTGAGATTTCTTATGGCAGTTCCCACTATACTGTCATTTTCACAGCTGTATTGGCAACAGAGTAGAAGCTGTTGACGCTGTCTTTTTTAAACAAGTGCCACTGAAATATGATATAGTATCTTTTTTTCTTTGGGGAATACTTTCAGCCTTGTTGTGGTGTCTCAGAATGGTGTTTAATAATAAGAAAAAACAATTAGCATCCCAAAATAGACATCAGGCAGGCCCATGTGATTTGGAGTGAAATAAAATCAGTAGCTGTCTTTGGGGTGATTAGACGACTTAGCATTGATAATAGCCCCATGAAATGTCCTCGTCTAAATGGTTAGGCTGTCAAGGGCAAACCTACTGAGGGGATCAGAAACAGCTGGCAAGTGATACAACGGCATTGATAAACTTAGCTTTGATAGGGAAATGTAGCCAAGCACTGCACATGGATGCATTAAAATGATTTAAGAGACACTGGAATCGAACGTTGTGGCCTGGCGCTAAACATCAGGGGTGAGAAAGTAGAAGAGAGGGGGAGCGAGGAAAGGTTGTGTGGTGGCCATGACAACAGCAAACCGTAACTTTTTACTCACCATGACTGAATTGAAATGTTTGTTTGCCATTAAACTCTCAATCCTTTCCCTTGGCAGCATGGTTAGTACATCAACAGAGATCTTTCCGTTCAAGGACCAAGAGCTCACTGCTCACCTCCTGTTTCATTTGAACATACTCAGACAGCAGTAGATCTTCACCGATGTGATCTTGTGCACCGAAGACAAGGAGATTCCATGCCACAGAAATGTCTTGGTTTCTAGCAGCCCGTACTTCCGAGCCATGTTCTGCAGCAACTTCCGGGAGAGCAGCCAGGCTAGAGTGGACCTGAAAGGGATCACATCGGAAGTCATCGAATGTGTTGTGGATTACATCTATTCTGGTACCATCACCATCACCATGGAGCTGGTGCTGCCCCTGATGCAGGCAGCCTCCATGCTGCATTATGGGAGGCTCTTCGAGGCCTGCTCCACTTTTCTACAGGAACAGCTCAATCCAGAAAACTGCCTGAGCATGATCCGGCTCTCGGAGATCCTTCACTGTGAAAGCCTCAAGGAGAGAGCCAAAGAAATGGCTGTGCGGTGTTTCTCAGATGTAGCTGCTTCTGAGGACTTCTGTGAACTTTCCCTTCCCGAGTTAATGTGCTACCTGGAGGACGACCGACTGTGTGCGGAGGAAGAGCAGGTTTTCGAGGCGTTACTTGCTTGGATTCACCATGACCCCTTCTCCCGTCGAGGAGCCATTCACGACCTCTTTAAGAAGGTTCGGTTGCGGTACATCCATCCAACATACCTCTTCCAGTTTATCGCCAATGATCCGCTCGTCCAGTCGTCTGCGCTGTGCACCGAGATCATCGAGTCTGTGCGACGTCTGATGTTTTCCGTAAGCGCCAAATGCACTCAAGAGCTGAAGCCTCTTTGGACCACACCGCGTCGCTACATTTGTCGGGAGACTCTGGTGGTGGTTGGAGGCCGCAAGAACAATGAACAGACGTCTCGAGAAGCGCTTCTCTACAACGAACGGACACAACGGTGGCAGTGGCTCGCGAAACTACCTCTGCCACTCTACAAGGCGGCGTATGTCTGTATTCACAGCATTCTGTATGTGGTTGGTGGCCTCAGTCTTCGTCTGATATCTGGAGACAGTGCGGTTAGCGCCACAGTTTATACTCTCTCATTGAAGACCAACCAGTGGAGGACCGCCGAGCCCATGCTGGAGCCACGTTACGGCCATCAATGCATCTCCTACCTTCACTTCATCTTTGCTCTTGGTGGAATAGGGCCGGATAAGCTGATCTCAAATACTGTGAAGCGTTACAACAGCATGTTCAATCAATGGGAGACCATGGCGCCGATGCCTACAGCAGTCCTACACCCTGCAGTCGCGGCAAACGACCAGAGGATTTACGTGTTTGGAGGCGAGGATGCCTTGCAGAATCCAGTGAGACTAATACAGGTAACAAAAGTCATTGGGGAATATAATCTGTGCCAGTCAAGGGATGATCCCACATGAAAAATGCATTTTTTCTCCCTAAGGTTTATCACATCTCCCGCAACTTGTGGTCTAGACTGGAAACCAGGACAGTGAAGAACGTCTGCACACCTGCTGCTGTGATAGAAGACAATATTTATATTGTTGGAGGTGGGTAAAATTGAAAGAAAAAGAATGGAAAATCTGCTATCTGATATTTAAAACTATGGGTCCATGGTTCTTCAAAAAGAGTTTTAGTTGTTTTGGACTTTTTTTGTCTGTTTTGTCTTATTTTGAATTATTTTAAGTCATCTTGAGGATGCCTTGGAGGTTTGTTGAGGCCTCATAGTGGGCCCTGGATTCCTGGTTGAGAACCACTGATTTAATTTAGTTAGTTAATTGAATAGACATTGAATTCAGATTGAATGATTCCACTCACTTGGCCTATATTATGATAAATAATGATGATGTTTAAAATCTACATCTCATTCGTGAAATTATTGCATAAATTCAATAAACTGTTCACCTCAAAATAAAGTCTCATTTCTAAATGTCATGAACAAATGAACAAATAGACATAAAAACCTCAAAACTAATCTGTTCGTAAATCTGACAAATGTTGTTTTCAAGATTAAAGTCAAGATTAATAAATAGAGCAGCATTCATTAAATGTTTAGATGAAATTTAATGACATCTACGGTCAAGAGGAAAAATCTTGCCCCTTGTTAGGAGGTTGCAACAATCCAACCATGAAACATTATGCATCATTTGATGAGTTGATTGAGTGATTGCCTACGACACCAAAGCTAATAAGTTTGTGAAGTGCACCAACATGAAGGAGAGAAGGATGCACCATGCGGCCACAGTCATCAATAACAAACTCTATGTGACCGGAGGACGTTTCCTCAATGCTCATGATGTCATCGAAGACTCCAACTGCTTTGAGTGCTACGACCCTAAAACAGACGTGTGGACTTCTAAAGGATCGTTACCGTACAAACTGTTTGATCATGGTTCACTATCGCTGATCTGCGTCTCCAACCACCCCAACCCACCATGACTGCTTAAAGAGTGCAACACCTCTGCTTGGGCGTCCCGTTCGCTCCCCTGCTTATTAAGGGAAATGAGAAATATGGGGCCACAGCTGAGACTGGAAACCATCTAAGGAAGGTTGCATTCGCTTGTGGGTTGAGTACATCTCAGCTGTGACTTTGATGGTATGCTGCTGGTGCTCGCCAGCATCTGTGCCATCTTAAATCAAAAGAGATTTGAGCTGGCAATTGCAAGTGTCACGGTGGACCTCAGGGAGTGAGCCTAGGACCTCTGTGACCCAAAAATCTTCAGACAGATGTTTCTCATCATGATCTCCATCTCTCAGAATGGCTTGAACAGCCAACTTTTAGTCGATAGTGCCTTGTTAGCATGAATTTAATTGGAATCCAGGAGATATGACCATTTTTGTTTTTGTTTGATTAAATAATTGGTGAAGTGAAGAGAACATTCCCTGAGAGCTGTGTGTGGTCAGTTCTATGTAATTAATGAAGGCCAAAAATGAACCTAATGGATCATGAAATGCTTGATGTACCATGCATGCTAAAAGTATGTGGACACCTGGTTCTAATTAACATGGTTTACTATTTCTGCTACACACATAACTAACAGATGCATGCAATCTGCTAAGATGAACATTTTCAGTATGGGGCCCAATGGACAACCCACTTCGGGGTTTGGAACATGGAAGTTAACTAGGGTAAACTTTTATAGATGTACAAGAGTGATTATATTAAAATATGTTTTTTGCATTTCCATTTGCTTCAACAGCAAAAACACAATAATAATAATAATGATTAAAAAAACTTTCGGACTCCAAGGTCACCCTTTGCTGATACAGCTTTTAAAAACCCTCCTATCTAAGCCGAGAAGAACCTCTTAGCATATTTTAATTAAGTTAATGAAACTAAATATACATTTAAAATACTTATTGGAGGCCCCCTGGATGTTTGCATAGGTCCTCTACCGGCCCCCTTGTTGAGAAACACATTTGAACCACATTTGAACAATTAACTTTCCAACTTTAGAAAGCCGCTTTCAGCAGTGTTTACTAGTTTTTTTTATCATTAGGTCCATACAATACAAAGTAAATGTTGTGCTTTTTTTTAAATTAAAATATATATTTTTTAAAAACGCAATTATTATGTTAATTAATGCAGAAATGTGAATTTACAGTCTGTGAAAAATTAATCCATAGTTAATCCATAACACTAACAGGGTTATTAACAGGGCGTGTGTGTGATCCCGTAAAGGGTAGGCTATATCTCATTTTTATGCACCGATTTGAACTTAATACTGAACTTGATTAATAAGTACATTGAAATAGGACTTGTATATGTGATTAATTAAAATTGTTTAATTTGACTTTTACCTGAAGCTGCTAGTTAACAATTGCCATTCTGAGGCTTTTCCGTGACCAGAATATATTGCTTGATTTATATAATAATGTATTTTTTCATCTGGTGACAAAAAGGTCTATATCTGTAATAAAACTTGGTCAATGGACAAAATAAACTTGGTGACTAGGCTATATATAATTATATACAACTACATAATACAAGTGACATATCAGTAGGATTTTAGTCAAATAAACATACAGATTTTAGTTTTTCAAAGAAAGTGTTTGTTTTATTTCACATGTTTTTTTTTAGATAACGTGGTTTTAGATAACGTAAAGGACCAGTTGATAGAGAATCAGTCAAGATGTCCATTGCCTCCTAGTATTTAATGCAGCTTGGAAATGGTTTACTTTGTGCCTGGTGGCTTTGATGATTAAACCAAAAATGAGATCTATAAGACAACTCTGTTTTTCTGTTGAATTGGACTTCTGAATGAAAGAAATATTGAAGGGTTTCTAGGCTATTCATTCCTAAAACTGATCGATTCAGCTTAGTTTTCACTGCACTTTGTCATTTACAGGACACAACAAGAAGTAAACAACTACATACCGAGCATAACAAAGGGGCGGCATAATCGGAAGCACAGCTGGTCTCGAGCTAAAACTCACCACTAACTTTACCCCCAAGCTTTCAGATACAAAGTACACCCCACAAGCATAGATAGCCCTTGACAACTGCAGGACAGGCTTGTTTTGTCACCATCATCTCAATATACTGTCCTCTCATGTACTCAAACCCATTAAAGGGGTCATATGATGCTTTTTTAAAGATCATTATTTTGTGTATTTGGTGTAACAGAATATGTTGACATGCTTTAATGTTCAAAAAACCCATTATTTTTCAAATACTGTACATTATTGTAAGTCCTCTTTGCCCCGCCTCTCTCAAACGCTTAGTTTTCTACAAAGTCCCTCCTTCCGACAAGCGCAGTCTGCTCTGATTGGCCAGCTGACCCAGTGCATTGTGATTGGCCGAACACCACAAGCACTCGTCGGAAATGTAACACACCTTCTCATAATCGCGAGCTTCATCTTTCAAAATAAATGTAAAGACAGAGCCCGAAAGGAGAACAGAGAACTCTCTCCCTCTCTCTCGCGCGCTCTCTCTCTCCCTCTCTCTGGCGCGAGCTTTTAAAAACCCTCCTATCTAAGCCGAGAAGAACCTCTTAGCATATTTTAATTAAGTTAATGAAACTAAATATAAATTTAAAATACTTATTGGAGGCCCCCTGGATGTTTGCATAGGTCCTCTAGTGGGCCCCGGCCCCCTTGTTGAGAAACACATTTGAACCACATTTGAACAATTAACTTTCCAACTTTAGAAAGCCGCTTTCAGCAGTGTTTACTAGTTTTTTTTATCATTAGATCCATACAATACAAAGTAAATGTTGTGCTTTTTTAAAGCAGCATTATGCTAATATTCCCACATAGTGAGGTAGATATGTGGGGGCGTGTTAGAACGAGCCGTTTTAGGGGGGCGTGGCAGAGTCTTAACTTTGATCAAGAATATCTCTTTGGTTTTGAGACTTTAGTCTTTGCAACTTCAGGGATCTTATCCATGCACAATCAGCTTGTTACACTCCAAAGAGAAAGGAAAACTTGAAATCGCATCATATGACCCCTTTAAGACCATTTTCAGCGGGAATGTGTTTGTTTGTAAATGAGTCAACATGATCTACATACTTAGGCCTTATGAAACAAGTCTTTAGAAGTTGATTGATAAGATGGAGGTGTTTTTTGACTTGCTAAAAATATTAAAAGTAAAATATTGAGACTTTCGGTAGCTACTTATGTACCTTTGGACATAGTAGAAATTTGTTGTGCAATTGTAGTGAGTCAATGATTCAATCACCCATTCATAAAGACAGTCACTTGCTTGGTTCCTAAATGAATCAGCTGTGTGAACAAATCGATTGAATGAATGATTCAATGACAAAGACAGTGACTTTCCACCACCTACGGGCTGTTTCGGTTTCATTTTTAAAATATAATTTGAGTTAATTAAATAGATTAATATTTTTATATTCAAAACTTTGTTTAAAACATTAATCTCATAACATTGTTATTATGAATTTAAATGCCTTCATGCCACCTCTGAGCTTCGTTAAACAGTCTATTAAAGGGCCGTATATATATAGCGTCTTTTGCAAGCTCAAGTTTGTTATTTCAAATGTAGACGCGCGGCAGGCGCGCTAATAATGGAAGCGTCGCGCTCATTTTTTCCAGGCGCGTCCGAGCCACATCGAGATAAAAACATTTCAACTTTTCAGAATGCCGCAAGCGCACTGCGGGTCATGTGACAAGAACCAACCAATCAGCTTCATCCTTTCCCGTAACAACATTGAAAGCTCAGCCAAGATGAAGGAACAGCTGATCGTAGCTGCAAGCGCCGCCACGCGTTTTTAGGCACAACATGTGAACAGCCCCTTAATGCCACATTTGAATTCTTCTTTGCCACCTCTGTAGTGCAAAGATGAATTGTTGATCATTTGACTGGTAACTTATTCTTCTTATTATTTTAATTGAATTTATTATTAAATAAATTTTTATGAAAGTTTGTTAAAAGAAAAATGTTAAAAGTTTAATTTAACATTTTTTGACATAAAAGATGCTATACACTTATTAAAGTTAATAAATGTAGAAAAAATGGCATTACAAAGCTAACAAATAAATAAAAAAATGCCCCTGCAAATAACTTTAAGGAGTCAAATATTGCCTCATAATGGGAAGGTTGATTTCTGTCATTGATCAGAAGGTGCTCTGTGTTGACTGTGTTCCTAATTTTTTATTTTTTTAAGTAGGAGCACTAGTTCTCCTAAAACGAAATGTAAGTGTAGAGATAGAGTCCTGAAGAATGTAATGTTACCTTTTACAAACTAATTGCAAATGTTTATGCAAAGTGTAAACTATTAAATATAATCTATAATTTACTAATATAATTTTGTTTGAAAATTGCTCTTTTGTTTATAGTTACTAAAACAATTTTTAGTAACATTACAGAGCGATTATGTATGAAGCATACCCGTTTCAGTCAGCTGTTGAAAGTGATGTGTTTCTGCCCTCTAGTGGAGAACTGCAGTTCTGTCTCTTTCCCACTAGTTTGGGTCAAGAATTCACTGCTATTTAGATGGAGCCAAATGTCCAAATCATAGGGGGGAAAAATCAGTTTAGTTGTTTTTTTTTCAAACTCAAACGTCCAAAGACCCCAGAAACCCTACAGCAGGCCTCAGGTTAGACGCCATATTGAATTTAACATGGATGAAAACAAGGTTATTATGAGGGATAGACTTCATAGAGTCTTTACCATGACACACACTGTAAAAGTCCTACATAGATCACATCATTTTTAAAACTCACAACTTCAAAAACATCTTTTTGCTTTGAGTTTTTCTTGAGAAGTGGGACAAAACAGGTCCAGCAAGGGTAACTGCTATTAGCTTTAAAAAATAAAAATATTTCCAATTTTAAATGTCATGAGGGATTAATAATAGAACGTATTTAACACAATTATCACCTTCAATTTCATTTTCTCATTATTATACCAAATCTGTGTTTCTTAATGTCCTCTCACTACGTCTAAAACAGTGTGTCCACAGAGAAGGGTTCAATCATTCACATGCAATAAAATGGATAAAAATGTTTTTGTAATGATGAAAAATAGCTTGTTTTATCAAAAGCAACACTTAATAATATTTCCTATCAAAGCAAGGTTGTTTTTTTAATGACACATGCATGTTTCATAAGATTTTAAAGTTTTTGTCAACACCGTCAGACATTCAATAAAATGTAATGAAATCAGGGAATATCAGGGGCAGCTGTGGACCCCCTTGCCACAGTTCACCTCTGCAGAGTACATCAGTGTCAGACAGGCTCTGCTAAGTTTTATAGTTTTAGAATATTTTAAATCCTAATGTTAATATTTCCTGTGTCACAGCCATGATATGTCAACACCATCTTCCAATTTCTGAGGAAATTATTTGAAATATTTAGATAATTGTGTTCTCCTGAAGCAGGTGCCATTAGCATCTAGCATCAACAGAAAAAAATTCAATGCTACTACATGAACTACATGAACCAAATTTGTCAACAGCGTCAGATGTCACCATCATAAGATTTTGTGTTCCAATGATATATCAAAATACTTAAATGTGACTCTTGAATAAAAGCTTTATAAACAATAAAATACTCACTGTTTATTGTGTTTGTTTTAATACAGTAATTGACTGATTCAATGTATTTGATAGTTAAAATGACTACAAATT